ATAATTCAGTTCATAATCGGACGACAAAAAAATTGTTCTGATCATCGTTATCGAAGTGAATAATCATTCGACTTTCCTGATCGGTAAAAAGTCATATTGAAAAGTGTCTAATGTCGGAGTCGCTCAAACGTCGGTCGCTCAAATGTCGGGCGCTCAAACGTCGGTTGACGGGCTTCTAATATATAATAAAACGGAGAAACAGAAACCCCATCACTCATACACATTTCATCTTAAGAGTATAGAATGCTAAACGCGACATAAAGGAACATAGTGCTTATTCGAACATTGATTAAAGTCTGGCACTAATATTACTCGTTCAGGTAGCTGCGTACAATACTTCCCGATTTGCCTGTGATGTTTACTCATGTTGTTTATAAATAGATTAAAATTAATATTATTCTATTCTACCTGTTTGCTTTCAGAGAAGAAAATTAATCTATTAGTACCTTGGCCTTAAAATACTTTTCATTTCGCAGAAGACGAACATCATTGGTGTAAAATAACGTTTAAAGAAAACGCTAAAAAGGAATCTTGCAACTCTGCAGACGTAAGCAGAAGCCATCGATCAATCAAGTTCTATTTAGGGGTAGAAAATTCTTCACTAATTTCGAATAAACCTTTTGAATGCCGAATAGCAAATTCTTTATAATTGTTTGTTTTTCCCATATATAAGTTCATCAATAAACTCATGTACACCGATGTTAATTTCTGAGCTTTTTGTGCATACTCTTTCCTCGACAAATGTTTATTTTCCACATAAAATTGTTCTATAGTTTCGACCAACTGATTATAACGTGGTTTTACATATTCTTCCATTATAACAATTTTGTCTATTGCTGTGGGATCATTTGAAAACATTGCTTTGAGATCATCACTACTTTCATTAATAATTGCCTCAAATAAACGTTGTGGATGGTTGACACTATCTTTCGTATGATGTAAAGCTAAGTATTTAGTATTTTTTATTTTAACTAAATAGGAATGTTGTTCATTTATGATAATTTCTACAACATAGCCTTCTCCAGTTTGTTCACTTCTCACATCTGCTAATAGTTTCTCATGAGATAAAGTGCGTTGATCGTGTAAACTTTCACAAGGCACCATATGTTTCAACATTTCATCATCGTGTCTAAACTCAAGGAATTTTTGTAATTTCGTACCGAATAAAGTTTCTCCATTTGGGTGATATCGGATGGATAAAATACTCAGTTGTTCGTGAGGATAACAAATGACAATCCGATTTGTGGGTGAAGTATATTCCATATTGACTGTATATCCAGCATTAACTGAAATAAAAAGAACTAAATAAAGCCATTGAAAGATGTAAGAATAGAGTCAGAATGAAGTACGTGGGATACTTGTACCGTGCTGTACAGTTCTGATGTTTAATTACTTCCAAGATGAAATTTGATGTACGGTAATCCCTTGATGAGGTCCCAAAGGAAAGATTTTGTATACCTCGAAGTCTCAGTTGTAAAATTTAAGCGCTGCTCGACATCCAGGTGTTACATCTGTTTTTGGATATTTCGTACCTAAACATGTTACTTCCTCCTTAAATTTTCCTGTTAATAATTGCATTGCACAGTGAGCTTGTGTTGACGTCACTGATGCTTTTGATTTTAGACGTAATTCTTTGTTTTGATGAAGATATGTTGATATCAACGATCCATCTATTTTCATCATTTTATCACCCAGTTGTCCAAGTGCATGTTTACGATCACCTTCTTCATAATTGAAGAACTTCTGCGGTGGTAAGCAGACGAGTCGTGGATCATTTGTTATATCGTACATGATTCCTCGACATTCGAGTGCACTTGGTTTTTGAAATGAACTCCATGTTGGAAGATGATAGTTGAAAATGCGATATCGGCAAGAGTCAAGTTCACAATCTTTAAAATAAAATCCATGGTCGTCTTCAACTAAGGACATTAAATTAGAATATGTGCTCATCATTGTAAGGAAGAAATTTTTGATAGAAACAATTAGGTTTGTCAATCTGAACACCTTTCAAAACAGTTTACCATACTGAATTTCTTTGTTGCGTTCGTATATATGTAAAAATTAACTTTCATCATCATTTGAAAAGTTGTGCAATAACTATATTAATCAAGCAAAGGTGATGAAACTGCAAAGAGGTGACCGTACATTAGTTTTTCTTTTTTTTTGCTCTTCACATTTGTGAAATATATTCAAATAATGATGAGGAAAAAGGTAAAACAGTAGCGTTCACGAACAGTTTTCTTACTTTTCTTTCTATTTATCTAGTGACTTACAGATATATATGAGTAAATTGCATAACCATTGTACCGCTGGTTGTCGGAGAATGTTTTACTTATAAAAAGTGTTCTGCTCAACCGATTTTAAATTGCTTTTTTTTATTTTATTTGTCCAGTAATGTTCATTCACTTGTGAGAAAAGGAACTCACCATCTCAAGTGGATGCTGAGATATGGATCAAATAAGACCAAAGTTGGCTGTTTTTGGCACCATCTGAAGAAAGAATCAAATTTTTTCTGTGATTTACTTAAATTAGTTCTAAAAGTTTTTTAGCGTTTCTTGTAGCCTGTAAAGTAGGTTTTCAGAATACGTTCTTTGAATTTAAATAAAATCATATTTTGACTCTGGTTTTATCAAAAAACTCTGTTTGCAAACACTTTTGCAAAATTCTGTCCACCGAGATTAGAACTACATTAATATGCCAATGAGGAACGCTGAAAAGTTTTAAAATAGACAGAAAGATAGAGCGTACAAAGCTCTACATTTTGAATAAAAAAGAAAATCTTTTAGAATTTTTTATCCAATTGAAAATCAAGATGAAACATGTATTCAATCTGGTTTTTTGTATAAAATGTGCCACCGAGATTTTGAAAATGTTTGGTATATAACTACGGAATCCTTTACCATTTTTTCATTTGCTGTCCAGAATATGTGATAAAAACGGCAACTCTCTAGCATGCCTTGTTACAGAGAAAATTTCATTTTACATCGAAAATGTCCACCGAGATTGTCTTGTCTATATTTCGATCAAAATAACTTAAAATTCCAACTCATCGTACATCATATGATTCGCTGACATCCGGGCTATTCGGTTCACGTCACAAAAAGCTTATTAAGTCTATACGTTGTCTTTTATTTTAAGAAAATACCGTTTTCTAAAGACCATAGTGCTATCGTTTGGTACTTCTGAATGCGCTGTTTTACCAGCAAAGGGCTAATCTTTTTCAACAAAAAAATATCGATTTATGTGTAACTTGACATGCTCTATC